TATTATTATTATTATTATTATTATTAATGTATATTTAAGAATACGGTAAATTTACCAACATTGAGCAATAGCTGCAGTTACTTTTATGAAATAACATGACTGATACCTGACAAACGTAAAAATCATTAAGTTTTCAAAACGAGATTACAACTTAAATACGATTATTAAAAGGCATTGATAGAGTGATCATGGTCATTCCGTGTAGATGTAAGCTGTCTTATAAACATCCCCCCCCCTAAACTTTCAATTATTTTCGACTTTATTGTGATTAAAGCTTCTGAGGGATCACCTTTTTTTCAAGATTTTTTTTTTATATTTCACAACAGCTGGTGTTTAGTGCCGTGTGGCAACTGTAAAAAGTGGCCCCGTACATCACTACAATGTTGTTATATTTTCTGGTCCTTTGGAATCATTGTTGCCAGTACTTAATGTGTTTAAATTGAATACTTATATATATATAGCCGGTGTTAGGGGGCCTGAGTTAAGTTGTTCTGATAGCCATGAAGGCACACTGCGTTAACTTGAGTGCAGGTATTTAAATATAAGCTACTCGTACTTGCATTCCATTTTTACTGCACTGTCTGTCGGGGATAAACATAGAGCATGCTCGTCGGTTGTATACATTTTCTGTTTACTTATTGTGACAAAAGGGAAAGGGATAATGGAACTCCCTACCAACCTGCCTATGGGTTTAGAATCTATCTTTATTGTCAAACCCCTCGCGGCTGACGACAGTTAAAATGTGAAATAAAAGATATAAGATATTATGTCCATATTAAATAATAGTAGAAAATGTAAAGGGTTTGTTAAAACTGGCAATCTTTTATGGTGGGATTTGTTCAATTTGGCTAACAGCCATAGTGTAGGCAATTAAACAATATAAGATTGTTCCAGTGGAAGACGTTGGTGGCACAGAGGTGACATGTGCGTGTTTTTATTTACCTCGTGGTACATGATACTAGATACAAGAAACTTTATTTATAAGTCGGTTTACAAATTACAAGAAACATTAGCTAATAACGAACCTATTTATCTTATCTTATATATGACTTCTTTTAAAACATATTTACTAACATATACTGTTAATAATATGGTCACGAGCTACTATGTCGTGGTCACGAGTGACTAAGTCGTGCGCAAGAGATAATTCAGGGGTGCTAACGAGATACTATGTCGTGGACACGAGTTACTAAGTAGTGCGCAGTAGATAATCAAGTCGTGGACTCGAGGTACTATATGCCGTGGCCACTAGTTACTAAATTGCCTTGCTCAATTTGAGTTTGACTTTGTGAGATCATCATCATCATCATCTTCAGTAATCGCCTCACTCTTCATAGAGCATAATCGCGATGAAATTAAAACTATGTACATGCGCAGCAATTGGTTTCCTCTTTACAGTTAAAAATTGTCTATTTACATCTATTTAAAAACTGGTAAAAACTGGCAATGTGTCTAGTTGATGGTTGTGTGTTTTGTCAGCGCCGACTTGAACCCCTCCAAGGTTGGTTTCTCAACAACTTGTATGGGTAGGCGATTCCAGAGGATGATGGTGGCCGGAAAGAAGCTGTTCTGGTACACAGATTTCTTACAAGTGAGCTGGCTGAGTTGTTGTTGGTTGCCTCTAGATTTCTAGCATTACGTAGTGGGATCTGGTGTGACGTCTACAAGGTCAGCTTGATCTTGTAGAGCATGGTGACTCTTGCCATGTCTCTTCTCTTCTGTAGAGTGGTCCAGTGTAGTGAATTTACCATCTCTGTGACACTGCTCTGGCGTGAGTAGTCGTTCTTGACAAACAGTGCTGCTTTTCTTTGTACCATCTCTAGTTGGTTGATGTGGCTGTCAGCAGCAGGTGACCATACAGAGGAGGCATACTCAACGCTTGGCCGTACATAGGTGTTGTAGCTTGGCTTTGGCATCTGGTGGCTTGACCGGATGTTTCGGCGCAGGAAAGCTAGGGTTGAGTTGGCTTTTTTCGTTATATTGTCGATGTGGCATTTCCAAGATAGATCTGGTGTGATGGTGACTCCAAGATACTTGGCCTGGTTGGTTACGTTGAGGGTTGTCTGGTGTATTGTGTATGGGAAGATAATGGGGTTCCTCTTTGTGGTGATTCGGATGACCTCACATTTGCAGCATTGAACTCCATTTGCCATTCCTTCTCCCAGACTTGGAGACTGTCAAGGTCGTCTTGTAGGGCACGGGCATCCTCCTGGCTCTTGATCGTCCTATCGAGGAGACAGTCATCGGCAAACATGCCAGTCCTCGACTTTACCCTAGAGGGTAGGTCGTTGATGAAAGCAAGGAAGAGCAGAGGACCTAAGACGCTGCCCTTGGGCACTCCGGATGTGACAGGGGATGTGTGGGAATGTGAGCCTTCCAGGACCACGCGCTGCGTTCTGCCAAAGAGGAATCCTTGGACCCATTTTAATGTGTTGCCTCTGACCCCATAATTGTCTAGTTTCATTAGCAGTCGTGTGTGTGAGACCTTGTCGAATGCTTTGCTGAAATCGAGCAGCAGGATAGCATCTATTTGTTCATTTTTTGTCAAGTCCTTTGACAAGGTTGTTCACAGTGGTGAGTAGCTGTGATTCACAGGAGCAACGGCGTCGGAAGCCATGCTGGGAGTCAGACAGTATGTTGTTGTTTGTCGAAATGAGCCATGATGTTGCTAAAAGATGATATGTTCGAGGATCTTACAGGAGATTGATGTGAGAGAGATAGGTCTGTAGTTGGATGGTGTAGATCTGTTTCCTTTCTTTGAAGATTGGGGAGACATCAGCTGTTTTCCAGTCAGCTGGGAGTGTACCACTGTCTAGAGAAAGCTGGTAGATTCTGGTCATGCCTGGGGCAAGTTCCTTGGCACAGAGTTTGAGGAGTCTGGTAGGAACTTTATCTGGGCCTGCAGCTTTTGTGTGGTTTAAGTCCAAGGAGAAGCTTGAGGACACCCTTCTCTGTCACAGTAATGTGGCTCATATCTGAGATATGGCGTTTTGGAAGTTGTGGCGGGTCTGAGTCATCTTCCTTAGTGAAGACAGAGGTGAACTGGTCATTAAGTATGTCAGCTTTGTGTTTGCTTCCACTGAAGGTTATCCCGTCTTTCTTCAAGGGTGCTACTCCAAAGTTTTCTTTTTTCCTTGATTTGATATACTGCCAGAAGACTTTGGGGTTTTCATGGTCCTCACTCAGCATTGAGGCAACATGGTGGTCATGTGCACGCCTAAATTTCAGCTGGGCTTGGCGCTTGATAGTTATGTATCTGTCCCAGTCATGTTGGGTGTTAGATCGCCTTGCACGTTTGAACCAGCGTTTCTTCTGCCGTGTGATACGTCTGATGTCTCTGGTAACCCAGGGTTGGTTGTATCTTTGTGATGTCTGTCTTGCTGGCACCTCCTCTGCAACTTTAAGTGTGCATCCGTGCTTAAAAAGTGTCCAGAAATATTCAATGTTTGTGTCAGTTAGGTTGAGGATGGTGTCAGAGAGACTGATGTATTTCTTTTTCATATTATCAATGTTTGCCTTACCCCACATGAGTAGAGTGTGTTTAGGTGGTTTCAGGCGGGGGGGCACACATGTTCGTGTCGATAAAGACTGCATGGTGGTCGCTGATGCCGGGCATGGGAGAGCATTGGTTGACAAGATCTGGTCGGTTGGAGAAGAACAAGTCAAGGATGTTGTTGCCCCTGGTGTGGAAATCTATCATCTGGGTTAAGCCAAGGTCCGGTTCCATATGCAGAAAGGCTTCATTGATTGACTTTTTGTATTGATGACCTTGTATGGTGTTATTGGTCCAATTTATATCTGGCAGGTTGAAGTCTCCAGTGATCCAGATAGCAGATTTTTTGTACATTTTACAAACTTTTGATATGGTGTCAAAAAGGTTGTGGGCATAAGATTCATCGTTGTTTGTTGGTCTATATGCTGACCCTATAATAAGTGATTCATTGTTAGCACATTCTATCTTAACAAAGACAATGTCACATATGGAGTCTACTTCAATTCTTTCATGTTTGATGGTATTTTTAATCAGGATTATGCTACCTCCATACCCATCACGTCTGTCTTTACGATGGATGTTAAAATTGCTATTTGGGGGAAGAATTTCGGCATCATGGATGTCAGGCTTGAGCCATGTTTCGCATCCGCAAAGGATATCACAGTTAATCGAATCAAGAAGGTTCCAGAAGCTGGCCCTTTTCTTTGAACTGGTTATGCTCTGTATGTTCAGACTGGCTAGACGGATGTTGTTGGTACGAAGCTTTTGCTTATTTCTGGCATTAGGACTTGAGCATGATGGTATTGGTGCTTGAGCACTTTTTGAGCTTGATGTTGAACCACTAATACCTGATAGGTCAGATATGTTACATGAGGAGATGCTATCTGGGTGCGAGATATCACTACTGTTTATTGAATTTAAGCTGGCGAGATGGTCTGATGGTATAGTGTCTAAAGATATTGACTCAAATAGACTTGTTGAGAAAACAGGTACCCCACACGAGAAGCATGTGAATGGCAGGCTATCAGATTTTGTATATGGGAGAAATACCTCATCATTTAATCCAATGCAGGTGGTGTGGAACCATGTCTCACAGTCGTCACATCGTATGGAGTTTTGGTTCCAGTCACATTGGTCCTTGCAGACACCGCATCAGACTTCAGACAGACATTTTCCGGCGTATACTGATACTCGGTTAACACAAGAAAGTATCTAGTTCGTTAACAGGTTGAAGATCAATATTTACAAATACCAATCAAATCGTGCTGTGTATATTTGTTCATTACTGTACATGTCTATTTTCCTGCACAAAGGGTAAACAATCTTAAAATGTTATAAAAACCTGCAGTTCATCCATGCCATCTTAGCGACAAAACAAGAGTCAATCCATAGATATTAATGTTTATCAGAGCCGTGATCAAAGTTATAAAGCCTTAAAAGCTAAAACTCGAAGGAGTTGAGTTATTGATCAAATGGTCGTTTAGCTGCTCAACATCGGCGGAAACGTAAAATTTTAGACATAGCCCGTAATATTTATCTCCCGTGGCAAATAAAATATGGCGGCGAGACGCACGTTCAAATCTCCAAAATTCAAAGTTTAATGCAGTATCTTACGTCATCTTGCCAAGCAGTTAGGAACATTATATTAACGTAAATAAGTAAAGGTAATTTACTATCAAAATAATTAGAGTGACAATGATATTCGTTCAACTTAGAATTGATGTTAGATTTTATGTCGAAGGGAGGTAATCCGTAAAAAATGTAGGTCATGAAAGATGATTGATTCGGTTCTTTGTTTCATGAATGCAATTTACAGCTAATGTGATTTATATTAGATCAAAATGTCATGTTTTTTTCAGAAATGTTGTTAAACTAAGTTTTTGTAATATTGGCTATGAATCTATGATTATCATTAAAGGAACTCCATTCAGGTCCAAATGAGCAAAAACATTTGAACTTCTTTACTGCTCAGGGACACGGGAGCATGGGGTTAAGTGAGTTGCTCCCCTTCTTTGTCTGCATCATGGCTAATTATAAATACAGTGTTTTACGGGATGCAGAATTCTCCGTCCTTATACGCATAAATTTTGACATGTTCGCATATAAGTTATCCACTTGCGTCCAAGTGTACGCACAAAAATTATCTTAGAGAATAGATAGATTTCTATTATTGTTTCTGACCCGACATGATTTTATCTATTTCTTCTTGAAGCTCACAAAATTCCAGTTAAAATCTAATACAGCGAGCAGAAAATGCTTGCATTTGTTTATTTCGGAAGTTAACATAATTGAAATCTACTGCGCATGATATTGGCAATATAATGGTTTCGGCGAACTTAACTTATGAGGAGGTGCAAAAGTGGTTTCGTTGGCCTTGTGTTATATGACAGTCTTCGAAATTAGCACTCGTCCAATCGCCCAGGCAAGTAAATATTAAATTCGGGCGACTAAAAAATCCAATTTTGCTCGCCCGCCTGGCGAGTAAAATTTCCGATCGCCAAATTCATTATAGTGGTGTTCAACCGCGCACTTTTTGCCATGTCACTACTGTTTCTTGGCTTACTTTCGTTAGCGATGTAAAGCAAGTAATTTTTGTGTCGCCTCTACGGAGTAGTTGCGACATATAGGGATCAATTCTCCGTCGTCTGTCTGTCCGTCTGACTGTCCGTCTGTCCGTCACAAACTTGTCCGGACTACTCCTCATAAACTACTGGTGCAATTTCATCCAAACTTTACAGGAATGATCAGTACCAAGTCTAGTTGCGCATATTGTCAGTATTTTCCGGTTCAATGATTTTTGTCAAAGTTATGGCCCTTTAATAATTTTTATTTTTAAAGTTTGTCCGGACTACTTCTCTTATGCCACTAATGCAATTTCAATGAAACTTTACAGGATTGATCTGTAGCTCAAGTCCTTGCGCATATTGCAAGGGTTTTCCGGTTGAATGATTTTTGGCAGAGTTATGGCCCTTTGATAAAAAGGTGTTTTTTTCTGTGTGTTGCCAGATACACAAAAGCTTGTCCGGACTACTCCTCAAAAACTACTGGTGCAATTTCATCCAAACTTTACAGGAATGATCAGTACCAAGTCTAGTTGTGCACTGTCTGTCTGTCTGTCCGATTGTCACAAAACTTGTCCCAACATAAAATTGGCCATCATAAGGCGACACATGTGATTACTGATCGCTCTTGTTTGGGAACCAACTTTGTTTATGTTCCGTTTTCCATTGTCAAACGACAAGTATCTTTGTAGTAACCATGAAAAATGATTTCATGTACAGCAGGGAATAACAATGGACCCCAAAAATTTCAAAGAGATTTAAAACCCTGTAAATAAATCATTCGCAAACCCTTCATATTTTTTTCATAATATATACAAAGCAAGTTAACCATATTAAGTAGGGGACGCCAGATAAACTCATTCATTTTTTGTTTTAAAGGTGTCCTTCAGTATTTCATGCACTGCTTCAGGTTTCACTTGGAACACCCCAACGATTATTCTTAAGCGATTGTCCTGTTATAGGAATAACCCAACTAGTTTAAGTTCTTCAGCATACTTGTTTATATACTATGACATGACATGAACACTGAAGACAGACCCAATTGGAAAGTCCACCAATAATAGTGCAAGGAATCTAACATGCCTGTATTCATTCATCAAGCATGCCATGAACTGATGAAGTAAAGTGAAGCATGATACCTTGATATAACTATGTATAATCTGTTGATAAGCCAAGGATTGACATAAACAATTTATTAGGAACATAAACTACATAAAAATTAAAGACAGGTAAAAAATTCAGCACTTGGACACGTGATTATGAGATTGACCCTACAGGTGTGCAGACGGTTAAGGAAACAGAACCCATGTGCTTCATGAACTCCAGCAACTTTGTCAGTTTTGTTATCGAGAATTTCAATTCAAAATTGCACTTTTTTTCACAAAGTGGCGGAAAAATAATCACAATTTCAAAAGAAATTTCACAAAATAATGGGACTTTGTCTTTGAAATACATTGATTACCTTCTGGTAAAACATGATTTACGCCAATCTCAAAAACACAGTTATAGTTTTAATCAAGTTAAATGGTTTTAGCACATGTGAAGCAGGTTAAAGTATCGACTTGAAGCAGATTTCCTGGTTTCATAATGTCGCTAAATGCCAAATACTATGTAATTTTTTTTTCACAATTTTATAACAAATCGTGATTTTTTTCACAAAATGAACAGGTCCAGGCCACTTCGCAATTTTGACAAAAAATGCCCTGTTTGTGGCCAGTAATCTTAGATTAGTCTGATGAGTAAATTAAAGAAGAGAGACTGTCACTCATAGAAGTTATACTGTACTTCGCCATGCTGCCAATCATTCAATGTATATAGACCCTTTCATTTAAGCGATAACAGTCAGTGAAGAGTTACTTCCCTTACCAGATGTGACGTAAATGGGGATAAAACTATGCATGTCGCATAGAAAGTTAGCTTATTGAAAAGTTAAATGCGTAATTACTGATTGTTCAATTATGATTATAACATAGAGCTGTCATCGATATCGACAATATCGATGTATCGTTGATATTTTTTTGCCGATCAATACTCGATAAACATTTTAAAAAATCGATACTTTTATTTTATAAATTAAATGTCTAGAAATTATATAAAATTCACACAAAATATATACAGAAGCAGTTACTTATATCTAATTTTATGCTTTTGTTATATAGTGGAATTATTTCATAGCAATGGTGACAAAAAATATTGTCTGGAAAAAATTATGCAGTGAACAAGACACTGTACAGAACATGTTTTTGACTGAAATCATTGAAACAGGTATGAAAATGAATGACAGACAAGTGAGTATAGGATATTATCGATATATCGGTGTATCGTTGATTATAGTCACTTGATATCGATATATTGTTGATATGCTTTGCACTGAATCAATGACAGCTCTATTATAACATTTAAAAATTTACGCATGCATACATAAATTCAATATCAAGACAATAGAAAAAAATACAAAGCAAAGATTGAGATTAATTCTCGCTACCACGGATTTATAAATCCGTGTCGCTACGGAGTGAAACAGCGAAATTTCATATAAGATCTAGATTTTCTCAATTGCAGGATAAAAAGCAAGTAACTGAATCAAATTTTAATATTTAATAAACACCCATACACACTGAAATTGCCTATTATAAATTTAAATGGCCATTTTCTAGTTTTCTGTGTTACTTTCTGTCATTTAGAAAATTCCGGCGTATTTGTGACAAACCTGAAATAATATTGCCAATTGTCTTTTAATGATTGTTTTTCAAGCTTTAATAGAACAATAACAGAATGCATTATGTCAATACTTACTGATTCTTTTTCATTATGCCGAATAAAAAATATTTCAAAAAACCAGTGAAGGATATAATTTTATAAATATTCCGGAAAGAACGAAAACCAAATGGCATTGACTTTTATAATTTTAGATTTGCAAAAGACGATAAGATAATTTTGATATAAAAAATCTATTCTTTAAAGACCTTTTCCCAGTAACTTAATGATTTCATAGATAAATAGATGTGTTTATATAAGCGCCACTGGGCCGTAACATATTAATTAACAGTATATATACAAGCGGCACTTGGCTGTGATATCATAAATCACCAGGGTGCATTTTTGTGTCGCCTCTACGGAGTAGTGGCGACATATAGGGATCACTTCTCCGTCGTCTGTCTGTCTGTCCGTCTGTCTGTCTGTCCGTCTGTCCGTCCGTCCGTCACAAAACTTGTCCGGACTACTCCTCATAAACTACTGGTGCAATTTCATCCAAACTTTACAGGAATGATCAGTACCAAGTCTAGTTGTGCATATTGTCAGCATTTTCCGGTTCAATGATTTTTGTCAGAGTTATGGCCCTTTAATAATTCTAATTTTAAAGTTTGTCGGGACAACTTCTCTTATACCACTAATGCAATTTCAATAAAACTTTACAGGATTGATCTGTAGCTCAAGTCCTTGCGCATATTGCACGGGTTTTCCGGTTGAATGATTTTTGGCCGAGTTATGGCCCTTTGATAAAAAGGTTTCTTTTTCTGTGTGTTGCCAGATACACAAAAGCTTGTCCGGACTACTCCTCATAAACTACTGGTGCAATTTTATCCAAACTTTACACGAATGATCAGTACCAAGTCTAGTTGTGCATATTGTCAGGATTTTCCGGTTCAATGATTTTTGTTTGAGTTATGGCCCTTTAAAAAATTTTATTTTTAAAGTTTGTCCAGACTACTTCTCTTATACCACTTATGCAATTTCAATGAAACTTTACAGGATTGATCTGTAGCTCAAGTCCTTGCGCATATTGCAAGGGTTTTCCGGTTGAATGATTTTTGGCCGAGTTATGGCCCTTTGATAAAAAGGTGTTTTTTTCTGTGTGTTGCCAGATACGCAAAAGCTTGTCCGGACTACTCCTCATAAACTACTGGTGCAATTTTATCCAAACTTTACAGGAATGATCAGTACAAAGTTGTTAGTCTAGTTGTGCACTGTCCGTCTGTCTGTCCGTCTGTCACAAAATGTGTCCCAACATGAAATTGGCCATCATGAGGCGACACATGTGATTACTGATCGCTCTTGTTAGAGTTATAACATTACATCAGATTACGTCACTTTTGTTAGTTGTCAAAATATTTATGGTCCGAATTTTGTTATGGATCATCCTAGGGCCTTTATTGGTCATGCCTTACTGATTTGATACTCGATCCAGAGTCCTTCCAACTGGCACAGTCAAAAATACGTAAAATTATAATTCAGCTAATAACGAATTTATGTGAACGTGTTTCACAACTTGTTTTTGTTGTTTTTTTTTGTGATTTTTTAAATATTTGATAAGCAGAGTATGAATTAAAAAGTATCAAGTTGAAAATATTACTTTACCCATGGAGTTAAATATATGTTTATATATCTGTGCTTTACCAGCTGAAATATATTGGTGTGATGTACGATTTTTTGAGAGTGCATTTTTTGCCGACACAAATAGTATACAGTACAGTCATGTACATTCAAAATAATTTTTACTTTTTATGCCTTTACATGTACATTTTTTTTTGAAATTACATAGATTTATATTGTTTTCTTTTCTTTGTCTTAGTAATGCTTAAATCAAAATGATTTTTAATAAACCAGTATCTTTCAATTAATTATTACGCAGCCGTTTTTCGAAACTACAGAATCCTTACATTTTGAAACTCAAAATATCTTTTGAGTATTGTATATTAGCAGAGACATAGATACATTATCGTATGATTTAACTGCCTGGTAAAATTTTCATTTTTAAGAATCTAACGAAAATGATAATCATGATTAGTTACCCAGGAATATGGTCTACTATTAAAACAAATCATTAACCATATTATATAGTAAACATATTAATTCATTTCACCATCCTTTTATTTATCTTATCAAATTACACAAAATTTTGCCAATTTCAATCTGCCAATCTTAAAAGAGAAAGGATTAAGATCTTTATATCCCTCTATTTATGTACTTAATCGTATCGGCATTGTCCACCGTATCCCCCAATGACGTCATCCAAGGGCGACAACTTGAATACGGTCTTAAATGAAAGGGTCTATAAATTATTATAATATTATTTTACTTTTCAGAGTTGTTCATTCACTGAAGTCTTGAACATTGTCGATTGATAGCTGAACAATTGTTGTATTGAAGACTGAAGTTAACTTAGATATACTGTTACCATGGCAACACCGGACATGGAAGTCATTAAAGATATACCTGGCTACAAGGTCATACTGAAGGCTATAATCAAGAGCCAGATACAACAACTGGTAAATTTTTAATAAAATTTTGATAAATTTCTTCTCACTCAGTGTCTATTCTAGGACGCGCGATTGCGCGATTCATGCTAGTATTTCACAGATCGCGCACAATTCAAAATCATAAAACTTCCATCCCGCATTATATTTGGTTGTTTTGTTAGCTCACCTGTCACAAAGTGAAGGGGTGAGCTTTTGTGATCGCTTTTCGTCCGGCGTCCGTCCGTAAACTTTTACTTTAAATGACATCTCCTCATAAACCACTAAGCCAATTTCATCCAAACTTCACAGGAATGTTCATTGGTGGTCACCTTTAAAATTTGTTCAAAGAATTTAATTCCATGCAGAACTCTGGTTGCCATGGCAACCAAAAGAAAAAACTTTAAATATCTTCTTTTAAAAAACCATAAGAGCTAGAGCTTAGATATTTGGCATGAAACATCTTCTAGTGAGTGTCTACCAAGTTTGTTCAAATAAAAGCCCTGGGATCAAAATTGACCTCGCCCCGGGGGGTCATTGATTTTCCCTATATGCATATAGTAAAAACTTAAAAAATATTCTTTTAAAGAACTCAAAGAGCTATGGCTAAGATATTTAGCATCAAACATATTCTAATAGGTGTCTACCAAGTTTGTTCAAATAAAAGCCCTGGGGTCAAAATTGGCACCGCCCCCGGGGTCATTGATTTTCCTTATATGTGCATAGCAAAAACTTAAAATCTTCTTTGAAAAAAACCCAAATAGCTAGAGTTTAGATATTAAGTTAAGCATGAAACATCTTCTAGTAAGTGTCTACAAAGTTTGTTAGATTGTTTTTAACTATATGTATATAGTAAAAACTTTAAAAAATCTTCTTTTGAAAAGCCCAATGAGCTAGAGCTTAGATGTTTAGCATGAAACATCTTCTTATGGGTGTCTACCAAGTTTGTGCAAATAAAAGCCCTTGGGTTAAATTGCCCTGCAACGTTGGGGGGGGGGGGGGGGGGGGGGGGGGTTGGGGGGCCTATATACAGGTGAGCGACCTCAGGGCCATCATGGCCCTCTTGTTTACATTTACACCGAAAACCGAAGGGAGTTTACTGTAAGCTAATTATAATAATTTAGTACCGTATGGTACTGGTAACGTGAGTTGACGGATATTAACGGAATGTTCTGTACCGACCGGAACTAGTGTGCTAGGTCAGACAGTTGGGCGCCATTTTCATGTAGTAAATAATCAATAAAAATGAGGCAATTCCTAGCTTGGCTACGAACTAGACGTGAAAGATAGATTGATTGTTTGTATTGTCAATCCCTTGTTAATCAATCGTGATTGTTATATAATAATTTGTTTTTGATTAAAAATTAAGGGGGGAAAACTTCTGCTGCCTTAAATAAATATTTTAGTTTTAATTATTTCATCGGTTGAACGCCTCAGTTTAAACTTAATGCAAACAATTTAACATTGGCAGTTTATATTGGCACCCCTTGATTTTGAAAATCGCCCCCTTTTTGAAATAGAGGGCGGAAAATCACCCCTATTTTGAATTCCTAGAATAGACACTGTCTCACTCAGACAATGAGTCTAATGGTCATTTGTCTCTCACCTCTGATTAAAAAAAAAGTTCATGTGGGGTTAGTAGTCAATAACTTGTGGAGAAATTGGTAATCATTACTGGTAACTTATCCAGGAAAGCCAGTCAAGTGGAGATAATAACCCAGGTATTAACGAAAATTGTGTTGAGATGGCATAAAATCACAAACATGATAAACCTATTTATTGTAATGAATTTATTTTTAACATGACAAATGCAAACAATAATCAGCCAGCACTGTGTCTGCAATGTTTGCTGTTCATTCAGTGCAATTGTTGAAATTTTTCCTAAAATGATGAATTTGTCCAGATTTAATGATGGACAAAATGGAAAGTAAATTTGAATTTTTAGTTTATACATTTATTTTAGTTTGATTGTGTTCGAAGCTAGTAGCTTATTGAAACACTCTTGAATCTGTTCCTGGAACCAACCATTACTAAGCTTTAAATGTAAAGTTTCTTGCTCAAGGAAACAACGGCTTGCCCAGCCACCTGACAGGGTTTGAACCCACACGATCAGCAATCCTTAGATTAATAGCCCGACGCGTTCACACTCAGCCATGCAGCTAATTCAAATTTGAATTTAAGATGAAAAAAAAATTATGATAAATCTTGCATGTCTTTGTTTTGCACTTATGTCACATAATGTGTTCCATTATCGAGACAGTTGTCTAGTATGAAATGTTATATTTTCACATTTTTCAGGTAGAACAGTTGGCCAGTATGAATCGTTATATTTTCACATTTTTCAGGTAGAACAGTTAGCTAGTATGAAATGATATATTTCACATTTTCAGGTAGAACAGTTAGCTAGTATGAAATGTTATATTTTCACATTTTTCAGGTAGAACAGTTAGCTAGTATGAAATGATATATTTTCACATTTTCAGGTAGAACAGTTGGCTAGTATGAAATGTTATATTTTCACATTTTCAGGTAGAACAGTTAGCTAGTATGAAATGTTATATTTTCACATTTTCAGGTAGAACAGTTGGCCAGTATGAATCGTTATATTTTCACATTTTCAGGTAGAACAGTTAGCTAGTATGAAATGATATATTTCACATTTTCAGGTAGAACAGTTGGCCAGTATGAAATGTTATATTTTCACATTTTTCAGGTAGAACAGTTGGCTAGTATGAAATGTTATATTTTCACATTTTCAGGTAGAACAGTTAGCTAGTATGAAATGTTATATTTTCACATTTTTCAGGTAGAACAGTTGGCCAGTATGAAATGTTATATTTTCACATTTTTCAGGTAGAACAGTTGGCTAGTATGAAATGATATATTTTCACATTTTCAGATAGAACAGTTGGCTAGTATGAAATGTTACATTTTTCAGGTAGAACAGTTGGCTAGTATGAAATGTTATATTTTCACATTTTTCAGGTAGAACAGTTGGCTAGTATGAAATGATATATTTTCACATTTTCAGGTAGAACAGTTGGCCAGTATGAAATGTTATATTTTCACATTTTCAGGTAGAACAGTTGGCTAGTATGAAATGATATATTTTCACATTTTCAGGTAGAACAGTTGGCTAGTATGAAATGTTATATTTTCACATTTTCAGGTAGAACAGTTAGCTAGTATAAAATGATATATTTTCACATTTACAGTTGGCCAGTATGAAATGTTATATTTTCACATTTTTCAGGTAGAACAGTTGGCCAGTATGAAATGTTATATTTTCACATTTTTCAGGTAGAACAGTTGGCTAGTATGAAATGTTATATTTTCACATTTTTCAGGTAGAACAGTTGGCTAGTATGAAATGTTATTTTCAGGGTTCTCACTAGGACTTTAAAACATGGAGTCCATGGACTCCCAACCCTGAAAAAGTTGGAGTCCAAAAACGCATCGCAATTAATATGTTTACAGATTAGTCATTCAATGCTCACAATAGCATTGCTGATATTTTGAATCTTCAAAAGACTTCCAAAGTTTATAGTTATTCAAAAGAAACTCTGAACTACATAGTATAATTATTGTTTTGTTGTTAATATTTATTATGAAATTATCTTATTATAATGCATCAACACATGGAAATCGTTTTTTGTTGTTTTTTTTTTTCACTTTTATACCAAATTAAATTTTATTCTGGTTAAACAAGTCCACTCTAAAGACAAAAAGTTTATATTTGTAAAACAAACGTAAATGTATATAGGCAGCGTTTAGCGGAATGAATAGGAAAATCGTGTACAGCTACACACAGTGTGTAAGAGATTCATCCGATCGACAATTATTTTAGCAAACATCTTTAAAAGGGGGCAAATTGAAGATCGATATTTAAAGATTTAATGTTAATTAAATATTAAAGGAACAATTCATTCGCATGTTTGGCTCAAATTTCAAGATTTCTGATTTAAATTTTTCAGCTTTTTCACTATAATTATGTTCTTTATTTCTTAAGGTCTTTACTTCAAACTTTAAATATAAGTTTCTGGTCATCAACCACATCATATGTGACAAGGTTTATAACTCTAGCACAAAAAATATCAGTATTACCTCCCTTGAACTTAGATTTTTTAGGGGAAAAAATGTTGTCTTTTTTAAATAACTTCTTTATTTCCTAATGTATCTACTTCAAACTTCATATATATGTTTCTTATTAACACTCGACATTTTTGAGAAGGTTAAATACTCTAGCAAGACTATTTCCAGAATTATGTCCCCCTTGAACTTAGATTTTTTTCGAGAAACTGGTATTTTCACTCAAACTTCTTCATTCCTTATAGGATTTACTTTAAAATCCCACATCGTAATAATATGACAAGGTTGTATAAACATAATTTCCTTACTAAGCATGGAAACTTAACACATTACTGTGATATAGACAAACTTATTTAATTATGTTTTGTGGTCGATATTTTCAAATACAGACTTCATCCTCAAATTCATTATAGATGGCAATACACAGGAGTGTATGACAATTAAAGAACTTTTTGAGGGACCGGTAGGGGACTACTGTATTGCCCGCAATACTATCAAATGCTTGTTGTCCTGGCATTTTGGCACAATATCTTTAATTCTTAATTCTCTTATAAAAAGTTTTTGCAAGAATGAAACTAAAGCAAAATTGTGCGTAGAAAATGCCGAAAATATTCGACAATCATTCAAAATTACACTCATTTGTAATTTGAGAAAACAGTCTTTAAACTTGCGGCGTAAATAGTCGATAATTTTATCCTTTTGTCGGTAAAATTTGATAATTTCCAATCAACTGTTGATCAAAGATATAAAATTATCACCTCGTGTTATATCTGGTAATTACATGTACAATACAGCGCGTGTATACACGTGTATCACTATTGCGTGATAATGATCGGAAGCGTTATCGCTGATTGGCTAATCGCTTCACGGGTCGATGTGCATAGGACCGCCTACATAGACTGACACGCGCTGACGCATTTGTGTATTTGTGGTTGTAAACAATCGGTAATGTTTATGCGTCCCCAGGCAAAATTAAGCGTACGTGGAATCCTTGCTCTGAAATATTTGCGTCCAGCTGTAATAAACATGCGTACCGGGACGCCGAAATAAGCGTCCCCGAGAACCCTGATTTTTTCACATTTTCAGGTAGAACAGTTGGCTAGTATGAAATGTTATTTTTTCACATTTTCAGGTAGAACAGTTGGCTAGTATGAAATGTTATATTTTCACATTTTCAGGTAGAACAGTTGGCTAGTATGAAATGTTATATTTTCACATTTTTCAGGTAGAACAGTTGGCTAGTATGAAATGTTATATTTTCACATTTTCAGGTAGAACAGTTGGCTAGTATGAAATGTTATATTTTCACATTTTTCAGGTAGAACAGTTGGCTAGTATGAAATGTTATATTTTCACATTTTTCAGGTAGAACAGTTGGCTAGTATGAAATGTTATATTTTCACATTTTTCAGGTAGAACAGTTGGCTAGTATGAAATGTTATATTTTCACATTTTTCAGGTAGAACAGTTGGCTAGTATGAAATGTTATATTTTCACATTTTTCAGGTAGAACAGTTGGCTAGTACGACTGAGGAAGAATCAGTTATCCTAACAGCAAGTGTAGCAGATGGAACACTTTGTCACCTCGGTTCAGACTCGGGTAAAGTTTTCCTCGAGGATCACGAGGATATCAAATCTCAGTTCCTTGGCTTCTGTCTGAAAAGTAAGTGGAATATATGATATTCTATAGATTGCAAATTTTGTTGTTTAATACATGGCAAATTTTGTTGTTAAATTTATATAATATGAACAATCAGTCAATTCACTTCTTTCTGCATAATGTAGCCTTCATTCTGCAACACAAGGCTCTAGCAACTGGGCAATTTTAAATCTGTACTTACACCAGCTTTTTTACTTCCCAAATTAGCAATTTTAGGAATAATTTCTGCACAATAATAAGGCATCTTCACAATTAAGTGAGAAAAAAGTCACTGGATACACAATTGTACTAGAATTACAACAAAGCAACTTGTATAACACCTGCATATAATGGAAAAAATAAGCTCCTTACTGTTACAAAAGAAAAGTTTGTATTAGAAATACCATTAAAACGTATTTAGAAAAAATCTGTTGTCTGAAATAAATAGTGCCACTGTGGTTGAATGTTAATACTTTCCTCAAAATATCAGCTAGAACTTTATTATATTTGTAAGTACTTGGGATCAAAGGGAACTGGCACATTGTTAGGATAGTTTAAAAACAGTTTAAAAAACCAACAAAACTTACTTTCTTAGTGCAATAACTAGTTAACTCCTATTAAAGATAGAAGGACTTAACTCGTTTCTGCATTAAGGTAATGTGTTATATAGACCTAGGGTTGAATAATTATGCCAAATAGACTTAACACCACAAGGTCATTATTAGTCCAGATTTCTGGAGTTATTCTGAAATAAATTACAATGTACAGTAAACTTCACATATAGCGAACACGGTTATAGCGAACTACCGGTTATAAGGAACAAAAAATATTGGCCCGAATTTTGCCCTTCTTTATTTAATATAAAAAAATACGGTTACAGCGAACACGTTTATAAGGAATTATCGCTTATAAGGAACAAGTTTTTTAGTCCCAATGCCATAAAAAGTACAGAAAATTACACTTTTATAACGAACTCCAAAATCGGCTATCCGTAAACAGATCACACCTTTTCTACTTTCGTTTTCAATGGCACAGATAAAAAATGACCGAATGTACCGTTTATTGTTGTATGTACTTCAACACAGGTGTATAGCAATTTGTCGCATTAGTTCTTGTCACCAAGATAAAACGATTATTCATTTTATCCTTTTATTTTTCTCTTTAAGATTATTGCCCGAGGAAAATAATTATGATTATTTGCAATCGGTTTTCAACATAATAAATCATGCTATTTCTTGAGTAAAATCAATTGAAAAGAACGCTTGGTTGAATAAAAAGAGATCAGCATCTATCTTGAGTAAAAGTCACCCTTAAAATATAATAGAAGATATTCATTATAAAAGGAAGCAAAAATCGAACTCTTGTTTATTCTTTATAATGAAAAGAAAACAAAAAGCGCTGAGTTTAGAAACAAAATATGATATTTTACGAGAAATTGAAAAAAAGCAGAAAAACTAAGATTGAAATAGCAAAGAACCCAAGAGTTATTTCTTTTAATCAAAATGCTCTTCAAAATGGAGGATAATGGTTAACAATTAGTTTGTTATATGCAAAACTGTTCGCTATAAAAACTTCTGATATAAGGAACTAATTCGCTATATGCTTACAAGGAACTCCGGATATAAGGAACAGATTTTGAATGTCCCAATGAGTTCGCTATAAGCGGAGTTTACTGTATATCAAATTGTAGGTAAAAACCATCTTTTAGAGGAGCTTTACTGTGGTCCAAAAGCCTAATAATGTAAAAAATTATTTCGTACATAGATTAAGTAGGGCATATACAACCTAATAATATGCCTAAGATGATAAAGAATTATACTCAAAACTATATGAAATGGATTTTTGTGCAGTTCTCACTTAAATTTGAGTACAAATTGTTTAAACACTTCATTTTTGGGTCATTTTGCACAGTAACAATTATTCTGAAAATACTGAATGAGCAAATTGTTTGAAATTATGCACCCAAGTTATATGTCCGGTCCTACATCAATAAGCATACAAATCTTGAAAAAGTATTCCCAGATCCATCATGTCGAACAACTCTGGAGGTGTCCTTTTAAAGTTTACTCTGTTCAAACTAGCAAGATCTTTAATTATCTGACTGTTTTTATATTTTTTTAAGGACATCATAAAAAGAAACAAGAACAAGAAAGAAAAGAAGCTCAGGAGAAAGAAGAAGCTCTGGCTAGAAATATGCAGGCAGTTACCCCACCTAGATATGACGGTATGGGTAACAGAATGGGATTCATGTCTCAACGCTCACCTAGATTCCAATCACCACGGCAACAAGGACCTCATCCTGTATCTATGAGTAGAGTGGCATCCCGTGGCAGAGTAGTGATATCTGGTAACAGGCATCAGCCTTATTCAATGGCCCGTCCTGCACGACCAACATTAAGTTTTGATCAACAAGTGCGTTCACCTGCGCAGGGGCCTGGTCCTATGGTAACTCCAGTACGTAACACTAAACTTGATGGACAAGTCATTAAAATAGAACCAGAAGATGAAGATGAAAAGTCCAATCAAAGTGCAAATGAAAATACAAATGTTCAAAGTGATGTAAAAACTAACATATCTGAATCTAGTCAACCATCCTCTCCATCTATCAAACCATCCACACCCTCTCAAACACAAGGACCTTCAGCATCAGATAATGAAGATGCTCGGTCAGAATCATCGTCATCAACCATTCCAAATGAAGCATCAGATCTCAAATTTAGTGACACTAACCCAGCTGCGGGTCTTAGTTTAGATTCAGATCTCTCCAACATATTACCAACAGATAGTTCTGTGAATGAACCTTCTACTTCACAAGGAAATGAACAAGGAACAATGGAAGGATTAGACCCAAATATTAGTGTAAAACTTGAAGCGTTTGGTGATTCAGAAATGGATTTAGAAATTACGGGTGTGGAGTTAGGTCAAAATACTTTAACACAAGAGCAAATGAGCTCACAAGAATGGATGGCAAATGTTCAAAATGTAATGCAAGGAGCATCAGGCAGTTCTGCAGATATGGCAGGTCAACAAGGCTACAGTAAGTGTCTTATTTCCTTTTACTTTCTTTTTTACCATCTTCCAATTACAACAATACAAGTGCTGTTTAATTGATTATAGATACCAATCCTTGTCAAATCCACCAACTTAGCTCAATAGAGAGATCATCAGGCTAGTAATCCTATGGTTGCTAGTGCAATCCTTGGACAAGATTATATTTTTCTATGACAATGGATCAATACATTGTCAGAGTCAAGGGTTTTTTCCAAGGATTTTGGGAACATGACCCATACCCATGGAATTGGGAATTTCAGCGATGTTTTGCTAAAAATTGGGAAAAATGCATTCATGACTTAATTTTTTGCAATAATTAAATGAATCCAAGGAATCAATGTCTAGGATGGCATCTTCAAACATTGAAGCACCATAACAGTAAAGACACCCTTATTTTCAAAGATTTTAGAATATGTAATTCAATATTTTTATTTTGTAACTTTAAATTGGGAATTTTCTCCTGTGGATTGGGAAAATAATAGACTATTTTTCAATTGGGAATATGACCGAATATCGGCTACAAAATAAGCCAAAAAAAATCCCTGGAGTCTAATGATTATTTATTTATCTCTGCTTATTTTGAAATCTTGTTTGTCATTCGGAGGAATTGAAAATTAATGGTTAGTTATCTAGGAAAGCTGGTTGGATGGATTGACTAAAAAATGTATTAAAATTGGAGTAAAAAAAAACACAGCAAAAATTGTAAAGATAGAATAGGAAGAATTTCATGATTGTAGTCAGTAGTTGGAGGATGGTATTAGTACACAACACATTTTTACCTTACATATATATATACTGTTCCTTTCTGTTTTGAACATTTCATATGTCATAACAAGTAGTATTGTACAATCAGATATGAGAAACCATGCTTGTATCAGTCAGTGCTAAAGTCAAAAAAAAATTTTCAGCCACAAGGACTGTTGTAACCTTCACCTTGCTGATTTTGTTTAACCCTTACCACCCTAATTATATTTAATGCACAAGTTCATCCTTTAATGAGGATAAAACAATAATTTTATGAATGGAAAAGAAATCAAAATATGAACTGACTCTAAAGCAAACAGCACAGACCATTTAGATCGCAAGTTGTCCGCCTATGTGGCCGAATAGAGAGAGCATTAAATAGAATGTAATTTAGGGGAGGGGTGGCATGCACGATCCTCAGACGATCTTAATACCTCTGTCTGATAGTTGTTCTTGGACATTAATTTTGTTATAATGGTCGTTTGTCAACGCTGGTTCGATTAGAAGTTGGTCATTTGCTGTATAAATTGGTAATTACTTGTTAATTATCTAGAAAAGCCTGTTGTGTAGATCAACAACTGAGAACCCATACCCCCACCCCCCCAAAAAAAAAAAAAAATTAAAAAAAAAAAAATAAAAAAACATACATGTATGTGTTCAAATTGGCATAAAAACCAGAAAAACAAACAGATTGATAGTTATGTGATAGTAGAGCTGTTTTGCTCATGTTATAAGGTTAAAGGTCAACATTGTACTTTTGTAGTTCAAAATGGAAAGGAACTGTCTATTCATAAAGAAACAAAAAATAAAGATAAAACATTAGAAAAAGTAAAAAGTCATAAAAAAAAGGAGAAAAATCAAGAATATTTTATACATTGTCATGATTTAATGAGTTAATTTAATAGAAACTGAAAAATGTAACCGAAATGTGTTGTGTACTGAAAATTGTTGTTTTGTATTATTTTTGTATACATGCTTAATAATTATTGTAGTTTGTATTTGTATTTTAACAACCAATATTCTGTATCGGGTAAAATCTATACTGTATTAATTGAAATTAGGTAATGGTCAGTTTTTGGGACAAAAAAAAGATCATTATTTAATTTAGTAAATACATACATATATTAATAGAATAGAAATCTGGCCTCTATAAATTTACTCAACCTTCACAAAATGTACTTGCCCTGCATTTTAACGGACAAAAATAGTTAAAATCAAAACACATGACGCATATTTACTATTTACCGATCTATATTGGTAAAACCAGCTTTTCAGATTCTACTTTTCATACCTTTAATTCAAAATCATCAACATAGCCTCTACACTTATTTCATTAAAAATTTCTTAACGCATACGGCTATGGAATCAACCTAATGGCTAAACTTCACCAAATGTATTTATGTATAAAACATTGTCAAATGCTGCCGTGGTTACGGAAGTGGGAGGCGTTAATTGAGTTTGGTAAAGTTTTATACTTAGCCATGAGTTTGATTTTCGGTTTTGTTTGACAAATATTACGATTGAAAAGGCGTCTGCAGTTTGATTGTCTAAACAAATAACTTCATTTATTTGTTTAGAGAAACATCATTTGGATCGGGGAAAAATGTTAGCCGCGAGTATGATTAAATTTTTACTGGCCCGACCCAAACTTTATGAGCGAGCGAGTGAATTTGTTGAGGCCTTGAAATGGCAAATTTTAGCACATCCTTCAACTTAAACATTAACATGTATTACCTGAACTTAGAAGCTGTTGCTATCTTTATTGGACCAATTATATTTCAAAATCAAGCATTGCAGAGTTTCTGCCCCTCTTGTCAGTGATTTGGATGTCACCAAAAAAACATTTTTCAGCTAGATATGCACATGAAATTGTTACAAAGAATATTGGTTATAAAAAAATATTGGATTTATATTAGTTATAAGGGATTTTGGTTATTAAGAATATTGTTTATAAAGAATATTGGTTATTAAGAACATTGGTTATTAAGAACATTGGTTATTATAAAGAATATTGGTTATTAAGAACATTGGTTATTAAGAATATTGTTTATAAAGAAAATTGGTTTACAAAGAAAATTGGTTATTAAAATAGATATGGAATACTACAAACAATGATTATATAAATGTACTATGTATATTCTTAGAATTAATATTCTCAAACTACCTTATAATGTTTTACAAATAATTACATTTTCTCAAGGCCTGTTACTCATAAAACTTTGCAAAACTTGAAACATTTTAACAGTAAATACACTCAAGTATAATATCTGTAAAATATAGTTAAATCCCAAATGTAAATTTATATACATGTACATTTTTTGTATATGTATTTCTCTACATACTGAATATGTTTTCCTGGTAAGCCCATGCTGTACAGGCATGGTATAAAAAACAGCATAATATTCTGGATGAATCAGGCTTGTTGCAAAATGGTTGTAGAGGAAAAAATGAAATTAAAAAAAACAGGTGATTCAAAACCAATTTGCATTAAACCCTTATTTTATGTTATAAATAATGATGATTAATATAAGGCATAAGCTACCCTTGTTTTTACGAAGCCTTTTGATAATTTCTTACCATTCTCCCATGTTGACATTGTTATACCTTTAATCTTATTTTACACTAAATGTACCTAACATGACGATGTAACATATATATTAGTCAATTTTACAAAAATGCAACTGTAAGAAACCTGAGAAAATCTAGATTGTTTCTGTGTATTCCCCTATGTGTGGTGTGTAGATGCAATTGTTGGTGAGAAAATTGACTTATATTATATATATGATGTACATTACATGATAGAAATAATATCTTAAAGGGAGAAATGAAAACTATAGAATTACCTGCGATACAAATGGTGTTGCATTTGTGTTAGGCAGATTGAGAGAAGTTAATACAAGTTTCCTGCCATAAAGAAACTTTCATAAATCATGCTATATTTTGATGAAGGTTGAGAGTATATAAGCTGGTATAACATTGTATTATATTTCTACATTATGACCTGATTATGTATTATATATGATAATCATGGTGAATGTATTAATTAACTTGATAACGATATTAACTGGTAATTTATATAAATTGTTTTGTGATTCAAGTCCATCTGATGTTTAATTCTTGTCAATGTCACCGGTCTCCACTGTATGATATACTGTAAATTTAGTGATTTGTATTCTCATAGTTGTATGGTTGTCATAGAAACAATTAACATAATAAAAATGATCATAACATATATAATAAATATAACCCCATTATAGACACCACTACCTCCCACTATTTCACTGCGGTGTATTTTATGTAGTTGCCATTGGTTACTAAGTGAATAGTTGCCATTAGTTACAATGGAAGATAATAAAGTTTGAGAGGTGTAGAATAGTAATGTAAAGGTTTGTGTGGTGAAAATATTCAGCCATGACCTTGAGATTATGACCTTGACATTTTATCTATGGATAAACAAGTGTCTACATTGTTAGCTTTGTCACAAAAGATTTTTTATTAAAATTAAAAAATGTCAGATCTATGTTTTTCTATTTCAGCATTAATGATTTTATTTATTGCTTGTCTTCTGAAGTCTCGTGTCTTGTGCCAGCACAATATATAATTTTAAAGATAAATAATTTGTTGAAAAATTGTGTTTTATGACATTTAAGTCACCAATTATATGTTTTTGTATATATAGATGTTAGATATATCTTGTATAACTGTTATAATGGGGGAAAAAAGGAAAGTTTTCTGCTTAAAAGGAAGAAATATTTGTGTACATTATAAAATTTCACATGTTTGGAGATTTGTTCAGAAATGTCTCAGAAAAAACAACCACAACCCCAAACATCATTAGATCATATAGTATATTGTACAACAATCTATTCTACATATTGTTCAAACACTTACATGTACATTATATAGAAAAGTTAGATTTACTTTAAAGCTGCAAACTACACTGACAGGAAATTGTCAGAAATGGATTTTTCAAGTGAAAAATGTAACAAATGGATGACATTAACTGAGAGTTTTACATGTTCATGGACATATTTATTTTAAAGCTACAAAGGAAATACAAATAAAGAATTGTGAAATGATAATAATCTTTGGAGGTTGCACAATATTGGTATTCTGTGATTCTTATATAATGTTTGTATCAGAATGATTATTCTGAATTTCATATTTTAAATAAGTTGCATACAAAATTTTTATATTATTGTCTGACTTCAAGGAGGTCACAGTTTCCTACAGTTGTGTCGT